GCTCGTCTACACACCAGTCATTCGTGTATTGAGCGCGCTCTATGTAGTTTAGTGACAACAGATACAGAATCATAAGAGGTCAACAAGGAACACAGACACCGTAGCACACTACCACCGACGAAAGTTCGTCCTTCTGAGCACCACAAGTCTTCATCGTGAGAAAAAAGCTCAATACCACGTCGACTTTCCCGCTGGACGTGTCAAAAGGGTAACTATTCTAGTCGAATGAAGACGGTGAAAGGGTGACACGAAAAAGCAGACACAGTGACATCTCAATGAACGCACTAACGCCCATAAAAATCGATAACATCATGAAGACAGGTACACAGAGTACGTACATTGAACCACAACAAAGAGTACACCAATATACGCACTATTACACACACACTCCTCTTAGACATAGTAAAAACACAAGTTTACTAACCAGACAAAAAGTGTACCGTATAGAAAAGCGGGGGTAGCGCAGTCGTCGGATAGAAAATTGTTAACTTCACGCGGTCATTACGACCATTGATAGACACACCACCACGTGTACTAAAAGGACGAGTCAGTGGGGACCGAGGATATAGGACGGGAACAATTACTTTCGTTTATATTGTTTGACACTTGATGTAAAAACCTCAATCGCGTGAACACATACATCTAAATAGAGGTACGCAGAAAACTAAACCTATCCTCAGGTAAAATTAGGCATTCGCCCCTCGCCGATCGTCGTGTTACGGTTAGAAGGAGTCCAAACCGAGCCTGTACGTTGTGTAAGGGAACATTTGGGCTGAAATACAACATAATTTCGGTACTTGTAGTCGCTTCGATGTGGAAGGGTAAATGAAACTCCTATTGAGTAGAGCAAAATGCATAAGCCGCGACGTAGACGAACGGTACAACGTCAGGTAAAGTTAGCTGCGGTCTGGCTTATTGTTGATTTCTGTTTTTCAGTAAAAAATATACAGAAGATACGGACCGAACTCTACCGTAAGTTATGGACATAGAGAAGTGTAATTTATCCACTCTCAATATCCCTACTGTACAATCTTTTTCTCATATTCCACTTAGATCCTGAATATCACGTCATATCAAAGGGGTCTAATTGTGTGAGAACGACAGCACATAGCGAGGCATTTACTAACGAGCGGAATGACTCGTCGTCAATTAGTACTACAGACGGACCGTGATATCAACATAAAAAGTATGGTTAGAACGACATTAGGTTTGTATTTACACCGTCCACCAGTGGAAAGATCTCGTGAGTCTAACCCAGTAACCTCTGGCACGAGATCCTGAGTATGTCCGAGGATCAGTCTGTGTGTATGTCAATTGTATCCACACTAGGTTTCCTTGAGTAATAGGAGGTTAGTAACATCTTAAATGCCGGAGTTTGTAATATCCGAGGGTGATTTACGACGATAAAAGCACAATCGTGTGTTAGTGACATCCATACCATAGAACTCTTCAACCAACGTAAATTTACCTTACAAAATGCTTCTTTTCTCCGTCGAATTTCGGTATTGGTGGAGGGTGTCGCCAGATCTGTCGCCCTTCCAGTGAAGGTGTCGTCGTCTGTAGTAAGATGACGCAAAATGTACTCGCAATGTGATTAAAGAAGTCAAAAAACAACTCTTTTTTATGTAAAGTAATTCACTTTCTGCCTATCGTTATATTTTCTTAAACCTCAGACAGACCTCTGTGGTGTTGTTCTGTTTCAGGATGACAATTAAAGATAAAATGCATATGTTATTACTATTAATATGTACTAATATGTTATATTTGATTAACTTTCTAACAATTGTGGAGTGTGATGATCAACACACCAACAGATACTCCCTGTTCCATTTAAATTGTCACACACTTAAATAAACTGTTATTATTACTTTAAATAATAAAGGATAATTACTTTATCTCCCCCTGCAGTAATGATGCGTTTATGTGCTCCTCATAAACTCGTACATCTGAAATGTAAACTACAATCGCTCATCCAAGTGCTATTTTTTAAGGAATATCAAAACCAAAAAAGGCTTAATGTACTTTTAAAACTCTGTCAAATGTTACCCATATGTAACCAACTTTTATTTACAAACGTGATATGATTATTTCCCCTTGGCTATTTTTTTTAATTTGAATCTTGGCTTTTTGGAAAACGAAAAAGAGAATATATTTTAAATCACAAAATGTATATATAAATGTATATGCTAGCTAACATGGTACACACAACATTAGATTTTTACAATAGTTGTTGGTAACTATGTTTAGTACTGAACTAAGGTACTATTTAAAAGTACTTTGCTTCTCTACATTTGTTAGATAACTTTAACAATAAATGATGATGTATAATTACAGATCAAGCTGCTCAGTGGTATATCAATGAATACAAATCTGATTTCAAAACTTATTTCACTACTGCATTTAGAAAATTCAGGATTGTCATGTTTTTGCCATTTCAACGAAACAATCAAATAAATCCCACAGCACCTGAATGCGTCAGGTCCTGTCACAACAGATAGAAGCAGTTTTCTTTCTAACCGATGAAAGTTTAAGTGAACAGATTGCGGTTTACTGCCAACTGCCGTCAGTTCTCAGTCTGGGGTTATTATCCAGTTGATACACCTGTTAGCATTTACAAAAAGCCAGACTCCATTAAATAAACTGCTAATTCTAACAGTCTCCTTCTCCCCACCCCTCCATCCCGCTCCTCTGAGCCGCTTACCTTTGCTTTTCTCCGGTTGTCAGTGAAGAAGTTTAACGGCTGCTGGTTCCAGATAAAGACGGTGAATGACACCCACCACCGGGGTCCTTATATACTTCTTCTCCATACCTCCTGGGGTGAGAGTTTTTTTTTCTCCATCTCCAGACAGCCGTTAGGAATGCCAAAGTATTCGGCAGGAATTCAACCGGTCCGGCGGCCATATTTGGTCTCCTGTATGGAGAGTGAAGGCGCGCCGGGATGACCATATATGGAGAGGAAGCCCCCGCGAGCCCACCGCTGAGCGCTCGAGCCCGTGTATGGAGCTACTACTACTACCAGTACCACACACACACACACACACACACACACACACACACACACACACACACACACACACACACACACACACACACACGTTAATGTAAAAAGTAGCTATTAAAATAAAAACGCTCAAGTTTATGGGATAATTTGGGTGTTTTGAGCAGAGTTAAATCTGTATTTTCAGCAATGAAAGAAATTCAATTGTAAGCATAAGATAAAGATTGTTAATTGTGAAGTTCACACTGCTTTATCAGTATTATTGGCACTGGAAGGAGTTGAAGTATGAGCAATCAAATGAATAGAAATGTCAGTTAAAGTCAAATTCTGAAACTGTAGAGCAAATGTTAGTTGAAAGGTTGGCAGTAAAAAATATTGAAAGTGGCCGGAAGTATTTGAAATAATTTTATTTAGTGTAATTTCTTTTAATTAAAGCAACAGACTAGTTCCTTTAAATATGCTATATCCAGCCAATCAGATTCCTATCATCAAGTTGGCTCATTGAATACACTTTGATATAATACATGAACTAATATTATTTTTGTCATGACTTCAGGTGTATTTTTACATCTAACACCCTGAGATCTTATCATTGGTTGCACAGAGGTCACGCTGCTCAGCTGGAAGCTCGAACATCAACAACACACAGCAGCTGATGACGTTGTGTTTCTAAAATGAGGGTCGGGACCCCCAACACACGGGACAGCTGCTCTGAGGAACCAGAGACAGAGACACTGAGCCCACAGTGTTTCTCCAGTGTTTACCCAGCTGATACTGAGAGGTGTCTGGATCTCAGAGGCTCGTCCGTCCAGGAGAGAACGCTGACGTAAACTCAACATTTCTGAACCTTCAGTCCCTTAGAGACTGTACCGTGTGACATCATTATTACAAAGAACTTACTATACTATCATATTTTGCATTACATACTATACTACTAACATTATTATGAGATTTATGTATGGCATTTTGACATACCTTTTTTTTTTTAATGAAATGTCTTAATAGCATTCTATACTAGATTTTTATGGTAACACACTTTATGACATTTTGACCTTTTGGGGATTTTGTATTCAATGCTACAGTATATCTTAACTTTTTAATGACGTACTAAAACCTTTTATAGGAGATCTTTCCCATTACATAATACTATGAGTTCTTTAAGACATACTTTACTCCTCACCACCTTCAACAAACATACAAAAACTCACCTCTTCAATCTGGATTTTAATTGTGATTAATTTTTGATTGTTGTTGTATTGCTTGATTTTAATTTGATTTTACTATATTTATTTGTTGTTCTTTTCTTTTCACTATCTCTGTAAAGCGACGTCGAGCACCTGTAAAAGCGCTTACAAAATAAATCTATTATTATTATTACTTTACTTGATTTTTCGTGACTATTTTTCAGAATCTTTAGAATTGCATGTTTTCATTACTAATTAAGCCCAGTATGACTCCTTTAAGACCAGCTATGCTATATATTATACTGTGCCATTTATTATAAGCTTTTATGACTTCTACGAACTTAGTTTTTTAATGTCATACTTTGGTGTTTTTATTTTGTATTCTTTCATAACAAAATAATATATAATAAGTGTACAGTAAAAGTGACTATGACTTAATTATGAGATTTATTTTATGACGTACTGTACCAAGACATTATGAGATTTTTTATGACATGAAATCTTTATAAAGCCGACTATAAATACTTTGTGTGGTAAACTACACAATAACCTTTTATGACATATTTAAACATGAGGTTTTGTTTGCCATTTCTTTGACACACTACACCTGATTCTGTACGATAAGATTTATTTGTTCATGACATTTTAATTACTCTCTTACTGACCCATAGTGATATAAGGAATCGTTATGACATACTAAAACACGAGGTCTTTTCAAACCATTTATTTAGGACATGCTATACTTGATATTTTATTACATTGAATGACTTTTTATGACATCCAGCCCCCCTCTCTTGCTTCAGCCTGATGACCCTCACCTGTCGTTGGGATTCCCGCAGAATCTGCTTCCTCCTCCTTTCTGTGACGCAGCTGCTGTTTCCTTTTGTTTCAGACCCTTTACACCTGCTGACATCACTGATGCCTGATTATCAGTGTTTTGTTCTAATTGGTCATTCTGTAAATAAAAATGCTTATTTATCCCTTCTTGTCTGGTCTTCAGCGCAGCCTTTGAGCTCGGCTTCGACAAACTTCACTACACTTTTATGATTTTCATTACAGAAATGTAGTATGCCGTTCTTTTGAAATTATTATGGAAAACTATATAATTTTTTCTATAGTTTACTATTTATTCTATTACTTGTTTTTATACCATTTTTGCCAATTTCACATATAAACAGATCGGTTTGGTTTATAACGGTGCATACATAAAACAGTAAGATACATTTAACAGAATAGTAAATATAGAATCTAAAATAAAATGTTTACAATCAGAAAATGTTTACAAATGATAAATACAAACAAAAAGGAAAAATACAATTACTCAATCAAAAATGACAGAGTATATGTTAATGCTATATTAATTTATGAGCATTATATATGAAAAGGAAACTGATATTAAGTCAGTTTTTAAGTAGTTACTACCGTTTTGTCAGCTATCTGCGTGGATAAGACTCTTTAAGGATTTTTAGTGGAGCTGATTTCCCTAATCTAACCTTTTTCCACTATTTTTAGCCGATCTGGACGCTGAGAGCCATCTGCAGCCGCTGTATCAGAGAGTGGATAATCCTCACGGAGGATCCCCTCAGGGTGGCAGCCAATACATCTATTTATAACCAACATCTGCCGCTCGTCACCCGACAGGAAGAAGTCCTGACTCTCAACTCTGAGAGGACAGTCAGGTTTCTGTCACTCTGTAGCACAACGCTGATATCAGACGGTAAGAAGCCAAGGTAAACGGTAATTAAAGCTAAATCCCAAAACAAAAAGATATTAAACTTCTATTTTACATGTTTACATTTCAATAACCCTGAATCATGTGTACATATGTTACTTACACTATACCTCATTTCATTTAAATTGTAATTTAAAACAACTTTACACACTTAATGTTTAAATTATCCTATGTTAATGTATTTGTTATTAATAGATTAGTCCGTTACAGTGTATTGTATTTATTGTTATTTTAGCCTATCCTTCGTAGGGTTAGGGATTCTTTTTAATCACTAAGTTGTCTTAAAAATAGGGAAGTAAATGTTAGTTTTGCTTTTTGAGGAAATCTTTGAGCGAGAATGAGAAAAATACAGACGTCTTAATAAAGAAATAACAACACATTTATTTAGAAAAGAGCACAAACATATTCAAACATCGGAAAGCTGAAGCAGGTGTTACTGAAACATTCCTCACATCTGAGCCTCCAGGTAATGTTCATAATTTGCTCGAAGAACGAACTCAAAGTAGGGTTTAGACTTCAGAGAGCTCAGCTCGTCCAGCTCCAGCAGCTCTTTGACGTCGGGCAGGTACGTCTGCAGAGAAACGCCTGAAACATGGAAAAGGGTTTGTCATGAGGGGACGTTTTTAACCATTAACCAATATACACTTTAATTCATGGAAAGGAATCTGGAAAACACATCGAGGAAAATTAACAATTAACTTCACCAACAGCTTTTTGTGTCTGATGCTTGAGCTTGTTGAGCTAAATTTAGTGTGTTTTCTGCATGTTTTGCAACTTAAGAGCATTATACATTTAAACAATAGCTCACGACAGGCCGTGGTATATGGTCATTATATCACAGCTAAGGGGCGTGGTTTGGCCCGACGCGAAGCGGGGTCAAAGTTAACCTTAAATGTTTCCATCTTAAGCTTTGTTAGTTAGTTTCGTAACGGACGTAATGTAACAGTTGTAAATTGTTCTCAGACGCGGAGGGATACTGACTAAAGTAACTACAATTCTACCCGTGATATACGCTCATTATATCATGGCTAAGAACCAATCAGATTGCTTGATTTGACTTATCCGTTTTATAAATATAGTTATACCTTTAATCTTAATGTCTATGCTATTTTGTGTTTGTTTTATGTCTTTCACTGGTAACTGTATTCTATGTGATATCCATTTTCTGTGACTATTTTATGAGTTGAAACCTGTGAAGCACTTTGGACTGCCATCCTTGTATGACAGTTACCATACAAATAAAGCGTATTATTATATATCATTTTAAGCACTACTGAAAATTAGGGTGATATGATATTTTGTTATTTATCTTTTGTGGATGAAATGAGGCGGTTTCCGGAGCGTTCCTCACCTTCCTGGATGAGTTTGAGGAGGACTTTGATGAAGATGCTGTCTTTGGCTGCTTCCAGAGGATCGTCACTGCCGTCAGCAGAGGACCAGCTGAGGGGAACAGCGTCACAATAAATACACAAATAAATACCAGTAAAACTAGGGCTGTAAAACGATATTTAAAAAAATATCGTACATATTTGTATTTATATTATTTTTATGTCTATATTTCTACTTGAAACTGTTAATTTTGCACTAAAGTTCATAAAATGAGAAGATTTGTTTTCTCCACATAATTATTTATTAAAGGTCATATATTTATTTATTTATATTTAAGACATCATAGAGGGAATTATACTAGAAATATGAATGGACCAATATGTGTACGGAAGATTTTAGACATTAGCCAAGCGTTATGCAAAACTAATCAACAACATTTATAAATCAGTGTTTCAATGTTTTTTCTCCAACTTATTTTCAACATTTTCTCTTCTTATACAAGTCTTTACTTTCATCTGCAAAGCCCTCTGAACTGACTTTAATGATTTCACACAGATAGGTTGTAAAAATCTTCTTTAAGCGTAATCAAAATTGAATGAAAAAACCAAAAACAACAAGATCTTACTCGTCTCTCCGCAGCGCTTTCCCGAAGATCTCACACTTCAACAAGTCGATGTCCTCAGCTTCCTCCTGCAACACAAACACAGACAATACACAGGTTCACTTTAAACTGAAGTCAAGCCGCGGCGAGTCAATTCTGAAACAGGAGAATCATTCACCTCGTCGATGTACTCGAGCAGGTCCAGAGCCTTTTTGAAGTCGTACTCGTTGGCGCGCCTGTTTTCATCACAGATGTAAAGCTGAGGAGAAGAGAGAGAACACTGTCAGCGTGACTTTATACAGAAATACCTTTTTCTGTAGAGAACTAGTTTCTGACGCGTTCAAAAATAAACTTAAAGTGGACCTATCATGCTATATTTGAATAACATAGTGTAGGACCATACCTATATAAGGCATATTTATACTTTTTATTTTTCAAAGACCTGTTGTATATATATATAATATATAGAGGACGAGGGTATACCACAGTCACCTAGTGTTTCCTCGGACTTCCCTCTGAACTTTCTTTGAATCGACATTTACAAAAAGTCTACATTTTAACATAAAAGAGTATATATCTTTATAGTTTTTCTGTAGATTGTGACTTACACGGAGTTTACACCAGACGTATAAGAACATCGCTATCGTACCACCACACTTCCCGGGTGTGTCTAATCGTCAAATATTGTACGTATCTTTACTTTTTGTATGACCAGGTCAAATCACTATTTGTCAAATTCCCCTGGATAGGTACGTTGTTACGTGAAAACATCGCAGAAAAGATGTACTTATACACAGGGGCCAGACGGGCAAGTCTCTGAGTGGTTCTCAGTCTTTTTTTTTTGTTTGGGAGGAGATAAAAGGGAGGTATTGGTTTAGAGAATTTTTCCCCGACGTTGCCTAGGACTATCCGTCTGACTAGGTCTAAAACTTGTGAAGATACTGTAGTGTCTTCACCGCGGATGCCGATAACCCGGTTGAGGTGGGTTGAGTCCTCCTCTGGTCGGTGCCTGTAAGGCAACCTTTCGCGACCTATTTTTTTTCTGCGACATCATGTATACGGTCCCGGACATCTACCACGACAAGAGTGTCTTATTCGGGTACTACGTGTGGCGTCACAAATTTAACTCGCTTACTCCTTACCGATTTTTACGTACTAG